TATACCACAGTTTGTTGATCCATTTGTGGATTGATGGGCACTTGGGCTTCTTCCATGACCTGGATTTTAACAGCCTTAAATAGAAATATTATTTACATGATCATATTCAGGTTCTTTTGGAACCATGGTTCAAGTTTTGATAGGACCAACAAGGCTGACTTTTTTTCTTCTTCTCAATTCTCAGTGACCGCTCTAACTGCTATTGGTTATTTTTGTTTTAGTATTTATTACAAAGTATAACTAATGAATTTATTGCCTGTTTATTTGCCTTTGTCTTCTCCACTAGAATGAACACTGTGAGGGCAGAACCACATTTCTTCTCCATTATAGCTCTAGTGCCCAAGCATAGGTTTGGCACATCATAGGTGCTTAGTAAACATCCATGTGAATAAATGAATGAGTAAAAGCCAATTCAGGGTTAATAGCCTAGAACTGCATTAGCAGTTTTGCCAGACACACTGCTGATCTCTAGTTAGTCAATTAAGAGCATATTCTCCACAAGTAAGACAAAGCTGGCATGAATGTGACTTTGTGTATTAATGAGCATAACAGGATCCTACTTATCCTCATGATTTTTTGTAATACTGTTTAATTTTAAAACTTAGGGAGGCCAAAATCATGATGATCTACCTAAGTTTTTTTGCAACCTGTTTTTATATATTATTTGATCCATACTTAAGAGTATATGTAATACATGTAAGGTATGAAATATAATAATAAAACATTTATCTCATTATATGTATCTTCTATATAATAAAATTGTATAGCATTGGAGTCTTGTTTTGCATATCTCTGATGACTAATGAAATGAGTATATTTTCATGTCTTTATTGGCTATTCATGTTTCTTTGTGAAATGTTTTTATGTCATTTGCTATCATTTTTCTGTTGGGTTTTTTTTTGAGATAATCTCAAGCTGTTGCCCTGGGCAGAGTGCTGTGGCATCACAGCTCACAGCAACCTCAAACTCTTAGGCTTAAGTTATCCTCTTGCCTCAGCCTCCCAACCAGCTGGGACTACAGGTGCCCGCCAGAACACCCAGCTAGTTTTTGGTTGTAGTTGTCATTGTTGTTTGGCAGAACTGGACTGGCTCCAAACCCGTCAGCTCTGGTGTACATGGCTGGTGCCCTAGCTGCTAAGCTACCGGCGCTGAGCCTTTGTTGGATTTTTCTTACTGTGTTATGGTTTATATTAATATATTCCATAAATATCTGTTGTTATATGTATTACAAATACCTTCTCAAATTCATGATTTTCTCTTTTAATGGTATCTTTGGATGTGCAAAAGTTATTAACTTTAATGTTTAATGTATTAATCTTTTTATGAGTAGCATTTTATCTGTTTAAAAGATCTCCTATCCTGAAATAATGCTAGTATTTTTAAAAAAGTTTAAAGTTCTAGCTTTCATACTTAAGTCTTTATCTGTAATTCATTTTTATGTATGGTATAAGATAGGAACCTGGTTTTCTTTTGATATGGCTAATCAGTTCTTTCCAGTATTATTTATATGCCTAAGACTTATTAAATATTTACTGTTATAGGAATGGAAGAGATAATCTGGTATTGTTTTTTTGATTATTTATAATCTCTGTCTTATAGGTTCATTTTTTAATTTGGAATAAACTACTAACTTCTAGGAGGACTATGAAAGATTATGATGAACTTCTCAAATACTATGAATTATATGAAACTATTGGGACAGGTAATTATTATTTTTTTCATGAAGGTAGAGGGTAGATCAACTATTTGAATATATAATCAATTTGGGCAGGCATGAACATTTCAGTCTAACTTACGTAGTTTTAAAATTCTTACTTTAGTAAGAAAAAGTGGAACAAAGAGGGCAGAGAATAGTAGGAGAGCCCTTGAAGATCTTGCAAAGACTTTGTATGCCTAAGTATTATTTATTATTTAAAATAAAAGTCATTAGAGGGTTTTGAGCCAAGGAATAATTTGTACTGTGTAAAGTTATACAAAGTTACTCTGGCTGTTGGTAGAGAAAAGACTGGATTGAAGTGGAAAAGGGCAGGAAAGACTTGTTAGGAGGCTTTTGGGGTGATTTAGGTGAGTAATGTCAGAGATAATGGTGGCTTGGACAAATTAATGGTAGAGAAATTAGTGAAAGGGATAGGATTCTGTACATGCGCACTCTGTGTTTGTATTTTATTTTATTATTTTTTTTGAGACAAGAGACTCAAGCTGTCGCCCTGGGTAGAGTGCCATGGCATCACAGCTCACAGCAACCTCCAACTCCTGGGCTAAATCGAGTCTCCTGCCTCTGCCTCCCAAGTAGCTGGGATTACAGGCACCTGCCACAATGCCCGGCTGTTTTTTTGGTTGCAGCCATCATTGTTGTTTGGCGGGCCTGGGCTGGATTCGAACCTGCCAGCTTAGGTGTATGTGGCTGGCGCCTTAGCTGCTTGAGCCACAGGTGCCGAGCCTATGTTTGTATTTTAATTTATTTATCAAGGTGTTAACATACAGTAAAATATAGGCAGTCCCTGAGTTACAAACCCTTGACTGATGTATGACTCGGATTTATAAATGGAGGCTATTATAGGCAGTCCCTGGGTTATGAACAAGATAAGTTCTCTAGGTGTGTTCTTAAGTTGTATTTGTATGTAAGTTGGAATAGACACATTTACCTATTACCTGTAATAGCCTCCATTCTTAAGCATAAGTTGTACAAACATCTGCTGTATGTTTGTAACTCAGGGACTTAGGGTAATATCCTCCATTTGTAACTGAGCTGTATGTAAGTTGGATGTTTGCAAGTCAGGGACTACCCATACAGGCAATAGGTGAGTGTACCCATTCCAACTTATATACACATTCAACGTAAGAACAAATCTACAGAATCTATCTCGTTTGTAACCTAGGGATTGCCTGTGTGCAAAGTGTACTAATCTGGATGGAATTTTATAATATATTCTATATATGTGTGCACATACCCATGTATTTCCTGCTTAGATTAAGGACTTGCTTACTTCCCCCCAAAATAACCACTGATATATTTTCAATGCAGAACCAATGGGATTTACTTATTTATTTTTGGGACAGAGTCTCACTATGTTGCCCTCAGAGTGCTGTGGGATAATAGCTCACAGCTCACAGCAACCTCAAACTCTTGGGCTTAAGTGATTCTCTTCCCTCAGTGTCCTAAGTAGCTAGGACTATAGGCGCCCACCACAATGCCTGGCTTTTTTTTGTTGTAGTTGTCATTGTTGTTTAGCTGGCCCGGGCCAGTTTTGAACATGCCAGCCTCAATGTATGTGGCTGGTACCGAGTCACCAATGGGATTTATTTATTTATTTATTTTTTGAGACAGAGCCTCAAGCTGTCCCCCTGG